GCTCTTGCGTTGCGGAAATATGAGGCGGTGGTTCGTTCAGATCCCACCAGAGCCTTCCGCTCGCAGTTCGCACTCAAGGCCTTGCAGGACCTCAAGGACTATGTCGGCTACAAGGCGGCATCCCAGGCGAAGTTGGATGAACTTCTGGGGACTCCACTTCAAGATCACATTCTCGAGGAGCACCTCGAAATGCTGCCTGGGCCAATTCTTGAGGAACTGGTAGAGGTCGTGGCCAATCCTCCTGATCTTGACCTAAAAGGGAAAAGCGGTCTCTCAGGATCGGCATTCCTTGAAGTCAAAAAGGAGGAGCCTGATTATGATGACGGAAGCAGTCCCACAGGACTGGTACCTGAATCTCATGAGGCACAGGCCACTGCGAACATTGAAGAGCCGAAGGTGTTGAGTGTTCAGCCAGAAACCAAAGTCCAAGGTGAGATCCAAAAGGTTGATGAGCCAAGATCCTCCACTAAGGTCGAGCCACAGGAATCAACGCCCATGGACGTTGACTCAGAAGGAAGCTTTCCCTCAGGAAAGGTACCTTTGGCGTCTTCGGGAAAAACAAAAGGCGGTCCCTCAGGATCGGTATCTGTTAAACCTGAGAAGTTTTCTCAGGGTGTCTGGGGTGAAACAGACGCAGTCGTTGATGAACTGGCTTGTAAAACCTTGGAGGAGATGCAGAAGGTAGGGAAAACTGAGGATGTCTCCTTGCCAAGGACCAGAATCAGACCTTCATCGCTTCAATGACGAAGGCTGAATATAGAGAGTCCAAGGTGGAGGACCTCCTCAAGTTTGTTCGAGCGTACAAGGTCCTCGAGTTCGAAAGGGCCAAGTCACCCCTTGAACAGCTGAAGTTCCAGAAGAACGGCTACAATGCCTCTGGAAGCTATCATTGCGGTTTGAGAGAGGCCGATGAGAAGCTGGCACTTTTGACTCATGCTTTTTGGCGGCGAAATGCAGACCTTCAGCCTCATCACAAGTATCATGTGACTGAGGCGGCACTCTTTAACAGCATGAATCAGCTCCTACCGCTGTCCGAGACGCTCCCATCAAAGAAGGACGTTCGTTTTGTATCAAACGACGTTCGTCCTGTTCAGAGTAGGGAAGCTCTCGCCAAGGCTCAAGAGATCCAGGAGGAGATGGAGACCCGCGAGCAGAGTCTGCTCAATATGCTCAAGGACGGCGATCTGGACAGGAAGGATCTCGTTATCCAACTGCTTGAGTTTTTCTTGGCAGGTGGGACTCAAGTGCAGATTGAGTCAGAGACTCCTCCCGTCTACACTACCAAGAGTGCCTTGGGAGTGGCGGTCTTGAACTTGGGAGACTTTTCCAGGGCAAGGAAAAGCTTCGTCCCTGCCCAGTTCAAGGCCGACCTCGTCGATAGCAGCGAAGGTAACATCAGCTTGTTTATCATGTTTTTGGCGAACGTCGCTGCGAACATCATTGTCCTCCAGGAGGCTTCGACTATCTCTCAAGAGGAGTGGAGATTTCTCGAAACAAAGGGATATCTCCTCGCCACAAATGAGGCGAAGGACCTCCTGGTTGGTGCCAGAGTAAATTGACCCGGGGCACATGTGAAGATCCTTGGTGGAAATCAATTCCCAGCAGGACTTCATGAAACACAACCCCTTAGTTGGTCCATCTTCGAAGTTTGCTTTGGCAGGACAGTTGATGTGAGTCAGATTCGAGAACATCCCTCGAACATGGCTACTGTCTTCAGCCAGCAGGAAAGCCGTTTCTCAGAACGGGAATCCTCTGGCCAAGAGCAAGCCAATCTCGACGAGGAAGCTGTCCTAGAGCACACGGATCGCGGGAACTATCAGGAAAGTGACTATAAGTTGCCACTTGAACGATGCAACCTGAACACGGTCAGGATCTGCAATTTCCACCTACACAACGTCGTCGCCTCCAAGCAGCCGGGAATCACCAATGAGGCCCTGGCTGTCATGTTCACTGATGCTTTCCATTTTCAGTGTGACATCATTGCTGGAGACGGCAATATGGCGGCGTACAGGTTTGGTGGATTGAAGCAGGGAAGTTGTTGTCAGGAGTCATCAGCCTTTCAGTCATAGGTTCGATACTTCTGCAACGCCCACTCGAAGGCGACCTCTGATCCACGGCATGCACCACGACCACGTTTCGTCAGTGCCAATCCTATTGAGGTTTTGGACCTGTACGAGCGAGTCTACAGCGTGCCTTACGATCAGGTCACCACCGAGGACTACAACAAACTTCCAGGCATCGACTGCATTGTGGCATGCGTACTAGAATGGGGTCATTCTCTCAGTGATGATCGTTGGAGGAATCATGATGGTGGTTCTCATGAATACCGATTCCGAGTGTCCGAATTTCTTCTGCATACTTCCAAGTCTCATTGGATGTTGCCGGATAAGGACCACGATTCACATTCTCCACTCTTGCTCTACTTGTCCTGGAACCAGTTGTCGAGGGGTGCGAGAAGACAGCAAGACCTGTCAGTATTCTCTCGCAAGAGTCAAGTGGACAAGAGGAAGCAGAAGCAGAAGGAGAGAAAGATTGAGGGAAAGCATGGCTCCACAACTGAAGCAGCCTCATCCTCCACCGCAGAAGGAGTGTCATCGTCTGGTGCCAGAAGAGTCACGGCTGAAACAAAGGCTAGGCTTACGCCCAATCTGGAAAGCGGTCCCTCAGGATCGGAATCCAGCAGGCCCGCAGAGCCTAAGGCTAATCCACCAGCACGTGATTCCGCAACTGGTCAAAGAGAAAGCGGTCTCTCCGGATCGGGATCTCGCAGACCAGCTGAACCGACAGGACCTCCTCCTGCCCGTCGACGAGTCCATGAACGACCAGCTGGAACTGGAATCTCTCTGGAGTTTCAAGATTCCCAAGATGTTGCTGACCTTCTGGACTCAGACGAGATTGATCCCTATCTCGAGGGCAATGTTGACTTCCTCAGGGGAGCTTTGAGTGCCTTCGCAGCGGGAAAAGCAAAATGTGGAAAAGGACGAGGCATATCTTTCATGGTACGCTTTGCGCGATCTCAAGGAGCATATGATCCAGACGCTCTAGAAGACGAAGAACATGAAGAAGAACCTAAGGGCAAAGGATCGAAAGGGAAAGAAAAAGGACGTTATGGCAAAGACAAAGGCCAGGGTGGCAAAGATAAAGGCCACACTGGCAAGGAAAAAGGAAAACAGAAAAGCAAGTGAAAGCCTTCTCTCCGCTACCAGTACCACGAGCCCTACTACACGGACTACGGCACCGGCAAGGGCAAGGGTCAGAAAGGCGGAAAGAAGGGCTGGAAAGGCTGGTGGTGAATGCCGTTTCACACAGTCTTAAGCTTAATTTTCCACTGTACATAGTTTATCCGTCAGGCGTTTCCGAGGTCCAGACTTGCGCACATTTTGTGCCATTGGCATCCTGACATGCCATATTTTTCTCCTGGGTTACTGGATACATCTTCTCAGAGGTGATACCAAATGTTTTCCAGTAGTCTTTACCTGTTGCATGCTGTCTCTCAAGACAGGGAGCGACCGTGAAGACGGTGAGAAGTTTTGAACTTTAAGCCTGAATTTCATTTCGCTGATCCTTTGCGCAATTTCGAGTTTCCGTCTTCTAGTCAGTGAGCTGTACATAGCGTTTGCGCCGGTGATGCTTGATCGTTTCGCAATCCTGAAACAGCAGATCTTTGCATTCGCTCAGCTTTTGGCATAGGTGTTTCCACTGCGTTTCTGCAAGTTTTTGTATATACTTTTCTTGCTTCCGCTATACACCTTGGAGCCAGCAAAGCCGACAAAACGGCAGTGCTAGTACATTCAGTTTTTAAATTTGTGCCTGGTTGTTTCTGTACATGTCCTGGCATGAACTCTGACTGTGCTGCACATATCTGGCTCACAGGGTTCTGTAGATGAGACTCCTTGCACGAAGTCGTATACCGTGCGAGTGCTGTCAAAAGGTGCGGACAGTCCTGCGGGCTGTAGCCTCTTGCACTGCTGTGTGTTGGTAGGCCCGTAGCGCCCCGTACACCTCAGGGGGGGGGGTCTGGCGGCACGGAGCTCTCCTCAGGACTGGTTTTGGGTGGAGGTCTTCGGGATGTTTGGGGGTTTAGGGTTTCGGGTTCGGGTTTCGGGTTAAGGGGAAGGGGGGTATGGGGTTTAGGGCTTGCTGTGGGGTGTTTGCGGGGCTTTGGGGGTGGGGAGGTTTACAGGGAGACTTTCGGACTCCCTAAACCCTAAACCCTAAACTCCATACCCTAAACCCTAAACTCTTTTTAGGGATTTAGGGATTGGTGCAGCTTCGACTTCGTAGGGTTGAGCTGTTGGCCTGCGGCGTATCATGGGTTCCCTACTACCCCCGCTCTATACTACTCCTAGGTTCCCTCCTTATATAGCCGTACTTCAGCTTAATTATCCCCTATAAATAGCCGTAATTATGCAGGGGGAACCTAGGTGGGGGGCGGGGGGGGTAGTATAGAGGGGGGGTAGTAGCGGAACCCATGAGTCAGTGTAGGACCCGCACCTCCCTGAAAGCGTCCTGGCCCCGCGCAGCGATGAGGGCGATGGCAAGTAGCGCAAGATGCAGCGCAAGATCAAGCCGAGGAAGCGCCAGCATGGTGTTCTGCAAGAAGCGGCGGCATCAGTCTGGGCAAAAGGCCCCTTACTCAATGGCC